ATCTGTGGGGCTGCCACAGAGAGGAGGAGGGGGGGTCAAGCTATTTTCCTAGGCACCCAAAGGCCAGTCAAGGAACAATGGATGGAAACTGATCCAGGAGAGATTCAACCTGGAAATAAGGAAGAACTTTCTGACAGTGAGAACTATCAACACATGGAACAGACGTTGCCCTCGGAAGTTGCGGGAGCGCCATCACTTGAGACTTTCAAGAAGAGATTGGACTGCCATTTGTCAGAAATGGTGTAGGGTCTCCCGCTTGGGCAGGGGGTTGGACTAGATGACCTACAAGGTCCCTTCCAACTGATTAATCAGTCTGTTAATCTGTAAATGGGCCATGTTTATTTCTAAGATGATTCAACATTATTATTACGTCAAAACTAATATTAATAATGTATTAATTCACCGGGAAAAGGGACTTTTGAGTGCTTCGATCCCAGGACAACTGGGGAACTTCTGGCAATTGCAGAGAGTTCAGGGGGAAGCCAGATTCACTTAACAACCAAGCCTGTGCTGTGATTCACTTAATAATGGGGGTGGGGGGGTGGGAGAGGAAAGTTTGTCAAATGAGGGGAAAACTCAGCTGCCCCACTTAGCAACAAAAATTGGGGGCTCAATTGTGGTCATAAGTCGAGGAGCAGCCATATTTGTTAGTCAGCCTTCCGTCTGCCCTGTGACTAACTCAGTTTGACACAAACTCAGCTTGTTTTAGTCTGCTTTTTGTTTTTAATCCCCGGTTAGTCGGTGGGTTGTTGTCCCCTCAGCAAATCTCAAGAGATTTTCCCAAGTCTCTTTTTGTTCCCCAGTGTTATTTTAACAATGGACAGACACTAAACGAGCCATCGTAGATTGAGAACTATGGGAGTCCTCGGCTTAACAATCATTTAGTGACCGTTTGAGGTTACGGGGGGCGCAAAAAATGGGACTTATGACTGAACATTCATTTCACCATGGTGTGATTAACTTCACAACTGCAGAGTTGTTAAGTTAATCACACCTTGCTCCACTTAACAACTGGAGCAAGGAAATGACTCCAAACTCCCTTGACCGTCTCACTTAGGAACAGAAGGTTTGAGCTCCCTTGTGGTCATAAGTTGAGGATAACTTCTTTGTTCTTTTTCTTTGTTTGAAATTCCAATTATTTTTCTGCTTGCTTTATATAACCATCCCTGTCGGAAGGGGGCTTGGAGGTCATCTAGTCCAACTCTCCTCAAGCAGGAAACTGTCTTCTCAATTCAGACAACCAGCAGTCCAATCGCCAATGAAAAACCTTGCAGGTTATCTAAATTTAATAAATAAATACGGAGTCCTCACGTTAATGGCAAGTAATTGAGCTGGGAAGTTTGTTACTGACACACTTAATGGCAAGGGTCCAAGAGCCACAGAGTTTGGGAAACCCTGAGTGAGCTTGTTGCCCATCCAAATCCTGACCTAGGTGGACCCTGCTTAACTTCCCAAGTGTGCAGTCAATTATGCCCCTTTAATGCATGTTAAATACATATTAATGTTTGTTTCTAACCTCGCAAAGGGGAATGGAAGAAAAGTGGGGGCTTCCCGTCTCCAGGCACGTGGGAAGGTACCCCAACTTCCTCGGGGTGCAAGAATAATATTCTGTGGGAGGAGTTGTGTGCCTCCGTGTGTGTGTGTGTGTGTGTGTGTGTGTGTGTGTGTGTGTGTGTGTGTGTGTG